AGTAAGGGTAAAAGAAATTTCTTACTGCGAGGGTGGTGAGACACTGGAACAGGTTTCCCAGAGAAGTTGTGGATGCCCCATCACTGGAAGTTTTCGAGGTCAGGCTGGATGGGGCTTTGAGCAACCTGATCTAGTGAAAGATGTCCCTGCCCATGGCAGGGGGGTTGGACTTAGATGATCTTTAAGGGTTCCTTCCAACCCAAACCATCCTATGATTCAATGAAATTTGATTGTTGAAACACAGAATTTGCTGTAACCCTCGAAGCATGAGCATGAGCACTTTGCCATCCTTAGGGGCTGAGATCTAAAGCTCTGGAAGATGTGCTCTCTGTCACACTCTCATTTCATATGCCTATCATATGATAGTGCCACAGCAGTAATCTCCCTGTACACATTTTCTTCCTCATCTAGCTGATTTATACACTGAAACATGCAATTTCAATCACACACTGAAATAGCATCACAGCCACTTATGTGAAGAGAATGGCCTTGCCAAAAACACAGGGGGAAAAAATAAATAAACACAAGCCTTGGCCAAAACTGTAAGATCTGAACTGTGCCAGAGGTTGCAAATGGAAAGAGACGCTAAAGGACACAGACTGTAAGTCTAGGCTGCTCTCTTGGTTAAGGCTTTCCAAGGAGAGCCTGAAGAAAAAGGTGCACCATCAGCTGGAGGATGATAAAAATCCAGGGAGATGGCCCTGGGAGAAACACTGCAACTGATATGATGACAGATGGGGCTGGGCTATGAGGTTTCTTCCTACAGGCTTTGACCACACACTACTCTACTCTACTCTACCACTACTATTCTGTTGTAGTAAGTAGTGCAATCATCCCAAAATTTTTACTTGGCTGACACCACAATATCTGAGTTCCTCTTACTCCCTCTTTCCTCCCTTATTCCCTTGTTTGGCAGCTGCCAGTGAAAAACACTGAAAAAAAAAGTAAGACACAGGTAGGTATCTTCAGAAAATAAATGAGCTCCTAATGACTTCAGCGGCTTCTCTTTCACAGCCAGACTACTCTGGGCTGTGATCTTGTCAGGTTTGCTAAGCTGAGTAAGGAAAGCAGCGGTACTTGGACTGGAGGTGTCTAGGAAAATAGATGCTGGATGACTGAGCATCTGACACTTCCCTGTGAGTCAAGTCAGACTCGGTGCCTTGTCCAAATGGCAGGAGGAAGCACTTATGGCTTGAATTCCTGTCTTTCACATGAGAAAGAAAACCAGGTAAGAACGAGGCCCTGAAAATTGGCAAGTATGTTCTTTTTCTCTGACTTACCTGCTATTATTTCAATTGGACTTTGCCTCCTGGATGCAGCAATCTTTACATTTTTCTTTTCTGTTATTAGACAGGTGACTGGTCACAGACCAGTGTCTGTGCTCTAGGGGCTCATATGGTGATGGGTATGTACAGTTGCATGGGCACAAACCTCTTTTACGCATGCAGTGAAAGTAGTTTCATGCATAATATTGCATGCATAAAGAATAATTCAAGTAACTCATCTATGCAAGCACAAAATTAGGCATGTACATTTGAAATATGCAATGAGGTAATGCATACTGAAAGACAAGAGAATAATATTAAAGCTGTTGAGGTTAAATAAGTTATTGCTCTCTGGCAAATTCTAGCCACAGCAGCAGTTGTCCAAGAGCAGGAAGAAACTGTATCCGTTCTTTGAAAATAAGAAATAAAGCAGAACGTTGAGTCTTGCTTGCAAACACAATGGCAGCTGCTTTGGCATATCTTTTAACCTTCATCGGCATGCTCTGACAAAAATGTCAGCAGTCATAACAACATTGCTTTTGCTATCATGGCAGGAATAAAAAGTGCTGAACTGCAAAGTTCACCATTAAAAAAAGGGGAAGGGGAAAAAAAGAGTTAGCCTGCAGGGCTTAACTGAAAACAGGCCATCAACTTGGAAGTATAGAAAGCAGGACAGGGCTCAGGAGTTCACTAAGAGGATTTTCACAAATACACATGTGATGTCAGCGCTTTCATGGCAAAATGACACCTGTTAATCGGGTAAATCTGGAAAGACTGGATAATATAGGAGATAAAGTTCTCCGAGACTATTCCACTGGAAGCTGTGACACAGCAAGACCCAAATACCAGTTCAGGTAGAGACTGAGTCATCTCAGATCAGTGTTTAGGGCAGTACTGAATCCTAGGAAAGACCACCAGGAAGTTAGGACTCTAAGTCAGACGTGGAC